TCCGGCCTATTTGCTTCAATTTTTCTGTCTGTGTGGATGGTATAATCCCATAGAATGGTGACATCTTCTATTTCTGTAACCGGCGCTGGCCGATGTTCATACCAGTGTTTGCTTACACATTTTCCAAAGTGTTTGCACATTGTCCAGTGTAAGTATTGCCCCACTCTATCGTGACGATTTTTATATTCATTTGGGGCAAGTATAGAACATCCTGAGATTAGATGGTCTATTGTTTCTTGGTATTTGTCACAGAACCTGCATTTTGGATCCACATTATTATGTATGATATTTGCCTGAAAATTCCTAGTGAAAAGACTCTGGTCTTGCGCTGCAAGAATAAAGCCTTCAGTTTCAGACTTTAATCCAGATGCTCGTAACCATCGATGAGTATTAACTTTATCAACATTGGGTTTATTTGCACGTTCTGGATATTGGCCATGCAGAGGTTTGTCTTGCCAGCGTTGTTTCATCTGTTCAAGGGCTTTATCCTTGGCTTTTTTTTTTCATATCTTTTGCTGCAATAGTTGGTTCTTGGCTTCTGTTTTGATTTACTACAGAATCTACTAAATGTAAATGTTGTTTGTATTTACTGCCTTCTTTTATTATTGAATATTTTTTCTTTCTGTTTTCATGTTGTTTCACTAATTTTATCATGCAGTCATTTGTTGTTTCCATGTAAGTTAGTAAGCCAATAGTTGTTGTCTTGTATGACAATTCTAGCTGAATAAGACCTCTTCCACCTTCTTTACGGGGTATGTATAGACGGTCTACATCAGCCTTTGGATGATGCATCTTATACTTAGAAAAAGCTTTCTTGTTTTAGAATCCATTTGTCTGATGTCATTTAGAGTCCAGTTCAAGATGTTGAAACTATATTGGACCACTGGGATGGCAAGGTTATTAATGGCCATAATTCTGTTCTGAGAATTCAATTCAGTTTTTTAATACCAGTCGTACCCTTCTATAGTACTCTTTACGCACTATTTCTTTCATTTTCTTATGGTGAATTCCTTCACTCTCATTTACACCTAGGTACTTATAAGCTTCTCCTTGTTCTAAATCTTTTATTGTTACAGCAGGGGTCTAAACTAATAGAGGAAGTTTGTTGTAGCGATCCTCGTAAAACTGTAGCTTTAGCACATTTATCCAAATTGAATTTCATTCCAATGTCTTCACTGAAGCATTTTACAGTTTGCAGAAGACCTTCCAGCTCATTGTCATTCCTAGCATACAATTTTAAGTCATCCATGTAAAATAGATGGTTTATTTTCTTTTGAGCTATTTTGTAAACCGCATTCTGTCTTGTTAAGTTGGCTGGTTAATACTATAAGTGATATGCAAAATAATAAAGGAGACAAAGAGTCACCTTGAAATATTCCTCTATTGATGTTTATTTCGCCAGACTTATAGGTTCCATTTTTTTATGATTGAGGTAAAGTGTAGTTTTCCATATCGACATACATTGTTTGATGAAATTGATGATAACGGTGATACCTTGTACATACTTAAAGACTTTTAAGATCCAGGAATGTGGTACACTATCGAATGCTTTACGATAATCTATCCAGGCAATACTAAGATTTTTTTTTTTTCCACGGAAGCAGTTTTCCAGGATCATCCTATTAATAAGTAATTGGTCTTTACATCCGTAGCAGCCTCGTTTGCACCCTTTTTGTTCAAGTGGTAGTATGTCATTTCTTTCCAAGAAGAAATATGTCTGTTTTGTTAAAATAGATGTTAACAGTTTGTATGTTGTTGGAAGACATGTAATTGGTCTATAGTTTTTCGGAATATTTGTGTCACTATTTTTGGGTAGAAGAAAGGTAACTCCTTTGGTCATCCATGCAGGAATTTTAGTTGGATCGGTAACCATTTCTTGAAGTTCTTTGGCGAGTTTTTGTGTGCTGTATTTAAATAATATAGCCAGAAGTTAGGAATTTTATCTATTCCTGGAGATTTCCAGTTGTGTGCTTTTTTTTCAGTGCACATTTAACATCTTCTTCTGTGATTCCCGCCCATGTCTGTTCTGGTTTATTTTTCATTCGTTCTAACTCTTGCGCAATCCAATCTGCCTCTTCGTTGTGTTCTTTAGGGCAAGCCCATATTTTTCCCCAGAACTGTATAACTTCTTCCATTTTAGGGGGGACTGTCACTTCAATTCTTTGTTTACCTATTTCCCTGTAAAATTTCTTTGCATCGGTTTGAAAGATCTTGTTCTGTCTATAGAATCTTGATCTTTTCTCGTAGCGTCTTATTCTTTGAGCCTTCAGTTGTATTATTATTGTATTCAGTTGTATTATTATTATTATTATTATTATTATTATTATTATTATTATTATTATTATTATTATTATTTCTGCTATGGACACACTACCTACCAAGTCTGCGGAAAGACCTAAGGCAGGTCGTGGTGTGTTGTTATTTATTACATTTCATGTTAATTTTTTTTTTTTTTTTTTTTTTTTATCTCCGATGAAGTTGCTAGCGTTACATAGACAAAGTTCTCCTTAGTGTGTGTGCTGTACTTAATAAGACAATTTTCTGTATGTCTCTTAAGCTGGGGTTTCAGGGATTCTTTCAATGTGTTGTTTTGTTCCATTTTTTATAATTCCAAGTGCACCTATTACCACTGGTATTATTCTTGTTTTCAATTTCCACATTTTTTCTATTTCAATTTCCAGGGTCTTTGTATTTTGATAGTTTTTCAAATTCCTTGGTTGCTATGTTACAATCCGCTGGACAAGCCATATCAATTAGTAGGCAAGTTTTTTCTTTCTGGTTTTTGACAATAATGTCCGGCCTATTTGCTTCAATTTTTCTGTCTGTGTGGATGGTATAATCCCATAGAATGGTGACATCTTCTATTTCTGTAACCGGCGCTGGCCGATGTTCATACCAGTGTTTGCTTACACATTTTCCAAAGTGTTTGCACATTGTCCAGTGTAAGTATTGCCCCACTCTATCGTGACGATTTTTATATTCATTTGGGGCAAGTATAGAACATCCTGAGATTAGATGGTCTATTGTTTCTTGGTATTTGTCACAGAACCTGCATTTTGGATCCACATTATTATGTATGATATTTGCCTGAAAATTCCTAGTGAAAAGACTCTGGTCTTGCGCTGCAAGAATAAAGCCTTCAGTTTCAGACTTTAATCCAGATGCTCGTAACCATCGATGAGTATTAACTTTATCAACATTGGGTTTATTTGCACGTTCTGGATATTGGCCATGCAGAGGTTTGTCTTGCCAGCGTTGTTTCATCTGTTCAAGGGCTTTATCCTTGGCTTTCTTTTTCATATCTTTATTATTATTATTATTATTATTATTATTATTATTATTATGATTATTATTTCATGTTATTAAGAATTTCTACCTGAAAACTGATTAATAAAGAAAAAAATGTGAACACCTTTCAACAGGAGTGACAGTAATGTTTTCATAAACCTCACCCCTGCTACAAAGAATTTAAAAATAAAAGGTATAAATTTCTCATTATTGCATTTTACACTGTCAGTTAGTAACAGAATAAATGTGTGTGCTCTTCGGAATAATTGTTATTATTATTATTATTATTATTATTATTATTATTATTATTATTATTGAATACGTACCTTGTTTGAAGTTAGCCCATTTTAAAGGATAGACATAATTTTACTGAAATAGTTTGGTTTGAATAATTCATCTTCCTGGTCGCTGCTGCCACTATTATCATTATTATATATTTATAATTCATAGCTGTTTCCGATAAAAAGCTTAAAAATAATTTCCCCTGTGAGAAAAATAAAATAATTGACCTGAAAAAATTAGCGATAGTGATGTTTCTGAGGGTGTTGGGAAATTTTGAGTGTTAAATTTTAGAGATTCTTACATCAAGGAGTTTCCACTTCAAAATCTTTTGATAATAAAACACACACAGACACACACACACACACACACACATACAAACACACACATACACTTATATATATATATATATATATATATATATATATATATTGAGAGAGAGAGAGAGAAAGGGATAGATAAAAATAGCGAGTATGCTTCATATATAGGATGATGTATATATATATGTATATATATATGAATATATATATATATATATATATATATATATATATATATATATATATATATATATATATATATATATATATATATATATATATATATATATATATATATATATATATGTATATAGATAGATAGATAGATAGATAGATAGACAGATAGATAAATATTTAGTTCATATATAATGTACATATATGTATGTGTGTGTTTACACGTGTTGTTTATGTTTTTTGAGGTTATTTAAAAAGTGATTATTTTTCAATGTGTTTGTAACTTGAAATTTGCGAACCTCGAAATATTTTTTTATTTGTATCCCAAAAAATGATGAGAAATATTGAAAACGATTATATTTATCCATCTATCTAGTTCTTTTTTTTAAAATTGCAGATAAAAAGTTTCATTTCCCGATTTTATTTGAGAAATGATTATTGTGATTACAGGGCAAAAGAATAGCCCGAAACACCAGTCAAGCGATCAAACTCTCAAGTTAGCCAAAATGGCGACAACTTATCATCGGATCCTTCAGGCTCGATTTTATAAAAAAGTTAAAACCGGATGAAAAAATAAAAGGAAATATTTATTCTCCGTTATGAAAGTTGTAGAATTTGAATGAAATTATGTAATTCGCCACGATGCAGGGTAAAATGATGTAAGAAAAAGGAGTCTCAAGTTCTAATTGTCGTTTCAGCCTGGCCCGACTCTGAAGAAAAAATGGCTATACATACACAAACCTGCGCAAGCGGGCAGGCATTCGCACAGGTTTGCGCTTTGATATCTCTCTCTCTCTCTCTCTCATATATATATATATATATATATATATATATATGGATAGAGAGAGGTGGGGGCGAAAGGGATGCACACAGAGAGAAAGAGAGCAAGAGAGAGATACACACAAAGAGAAAGTGAGTAAGAGGAAGGCAGACACAAACAGACAGGCAGAGACACAGAGAGACAGACACAAAGAGAAGGAAAGTAAGTAAGTAAGATAGATAGATAGATAGATAGATAGATAGATAGATAGATAGATACAGAGAGGAGACAGAGGGACAGATGCACAGAAAGACAGAGAGCGAGGCACACAGAGGGAGAGAGAGAGAACTACATAGACAGACAGACACACACAGACAGACAGTGACACACAGACAGGCAGAGACACACAGACAGAAATAAACCCGCGACAGAGAGAGAGAGAGAGAGAGAGAGAACTACATAGACAGACAGACACACACAGACAGACAGTGACACACAGACAGGCAGAGACACACAGACAGAAATAAACCCGCGACAGAGAGAGAGAGAGAGAGAGAGAGAGAGAGAGAGAGAGAAAGAGAGACGCACATACACAGAGTCAATGAGACGGACAGATACACAAACAAGACAATGAAAAATTAGCAATCACGGAGCCAGATTATAACAATTGACATTTCATTAAAATCTATGGGGATCGTACTTGACATGAAAACAAGAGACCGGAAGAGGGTCCCAGAACCGAGAAGTGAGAGAGACGAAACCTTAAGCATAGAAACTACAAATACACTTACCAATTTTCGTGAGACCTAACTGTTACCCCCCACCTCACTGAACTATAATTCGTAAAGTCTAGTTACCAAGGAGAAAAGATCCACAGATTCGTGAAAATATTTATTAAAAAAAAAAAAGACACAATGTTTCTACCTTACTTCGCGGGTGGGGGAAAGAGATTGAAACCGAAATATCAGGGCCGATGATGTTGCAGATTATTTTGATTGTGTCAAGTGTCTCTCGGTACATAGCAGAAGTACCAAGCCAGATGTGGCAGCAATTATCAATGCGCGGGCGAATGATATACTTATATAAATGTTCAAGACAGATTCTGCCGAGAAAAATTGCCTGGCTCGACACAGTGAATATACATTATCGATCACTTTCGCAATTTCCGGGTTTTAACTTTTAAAAGGTCAAATTCCCTTTATCCGTCAACTTTATCTGGCGACCCGTGTTAAAGATGTAAGCTCGCCACGGTGACTGTTCTCTTAAGACTTTGAAAAAATGTTTCATTCATATGGCTGTCGTTCGTTAAGATCTTCGCAGAAGGAACAGACTTTATTCCTAACTGTCCAGTATTTATTTTATATCTCGATAAAAATGACGCATCTAATAGTGTGAGATGCAAATGTGTCTATCTATCTTCATATATATATATATATATATATATATATGTAGGTATGTATGTATGGTGGACGACAAATGAGAACTCAGTAAAATATACAGGTGCTTAAATTCTATGGACATGAATGAGAGTTCCGATGCCTGCAGGTGTTTTGCAAACTTTTAGACAGTTGGAACATGTAGTTGAGCCATTTTGATTGTGTAGTTGTGGATCAATTGCAACATCTTCCGGGAGTCCACAGCAAGTCTTGTTTTACTGTATGTGAGAAAGTCACATTGGCAGGTAAGGCTATCATTGAAAGAAGCAGCATCCTGCCAACTTTCTTTAATACTTGCATGCAGTTGGTCCCAATGTTCAAGTCGTGGTCGCTCAAATCTTTGTGTTGATGAGAAGATATATAACACACACACACACACACACACACACACACACACACACACACACACACACACACACACATATATATATATATATATATATATATATATGGTGCGGTTCAATTTATATTACAATGAATCATTCATACAAAAAGCAGATTAGTAAAGTTAATGATATAAAATGGCGAAATCCCTTCGCAAACAAAATTTTAAAGGTGCATTAACCTACAAATCACTCGATGAATCTTATGATCCTTGTTTTTAAAAATTATAAGCTGTGTAAGCTCTTTCTTTAATACGCCTTAATTACGTATTCACCATTTTATATCATTAACTTCTGCTTCTTGTATGAATGATTCATTGTATATATATATATATATATATATATATATATATATATATATATATATATATTATGTGTATTTAAGCAGCAATTTTTCTTGATGCATGTTTCATTAAATAATATAGACAAGTTTTGATAAGTTTAATAACATTATCATTGAAAGACGAAAGGAAATCACCATATTGATGCATGTTTTAATTCTAAGCTTTCGGCTTTCATGAGCCATTATCAAAGATTACAATTACATTTCAATATATCAAACAATACACGGGCAAAACAATAATGATAGTCTGTTTTTGTTGAATAAAAAATATGAAGGCAACGACAAGCTCGTGTATATGAGACGCGAAAGCGAAAATCGCATCGCAGCTCGCAACGTCACACATGACCACGCAAGAGTATTAAGTATGGGATGCCGTTGTTATAAACCAATGGCTTCTGTTATCAATTATAGGCATTTAATAATATTTGTGAAGATTTCATAGTTTATTGTGTTCAGGTTAGGTTTCAACACTTTTATGTATATAGCTTCAAGAATTTGTAGTTTTTGTTTATTGTTTTCATGTTTAAGTATAGTTGTGTTTTCAAGAAGGATTTTCCGGAATTGTGTATGCGGCCAGGCATGGTGTTTTAAATGCCTAAAATGTTATCATTCAAATGTAGAGTCAAGCGTCGTGAAAGCGAGTTTGTTGTGTGACCAACATAAATATTATTTAATTCGTTGGAGATACAATCTACCAAAGGGCACTTGAATTTGTAAACTATGTTGGTTTTTTGCAAATCGCTAACCGGGGATGGGGGAAGAATCATTGCGAATAATTAAGTTGGATATACTAAATTTAGTGTAGTATATGATTAACCTAATTTTTTTTGCTAGGATCTGTTGTAGATATAGTAGTATTTACTATTTTCTTAGTATATTTTCATCTTGTTTATAATTAGTATGCATTTGACTACGATATAGGAGATTAATATATTTGGGATTAGTTGAAGCAGTATTATGTTCTATTAGCTTAGTATTAAGACTACTAAGAAAACATCTTATTTGTTCATCAACTATATAGTTTGGAAAGCTATTATTAATAAGTGTTTGTTTAATATTCTTCACTGTAAAAAATCTGCTTTGTAGATGAATTAGTTTCTGCACGATGTATTAGATTTTTTATAATTGCTATTTTGTAGTAATATGGACATTCGCTTTTGTAGTTAAGTGTACATGAATGTATGCTGGTAGGTTTTTGTATGGCGAAGTAAATTTGTTATTATTTCTGTTTATCTATAAGACAAGGAATGGAATTTTATTATTAGTATTGAGTTTATACGGGAATTTAAAGACATAATTATTTTGAAAAGGTTTTTGAAGTTGAAGGATTTCATCTGTATTTTAACTAGCATAAAGATATCATCAACGTATCTTAGGTAGATGGAAGGTTTTTTTAAAATCTGTAAATATCTTATTTTCGAGGTTCGACATGTAGAAATTGCTAAATGTCGGACCCTGTATTGAACCTATGGAGACACTATCACGTTGTATATATATATATATATATATATATATATATATATATATATATATATATATATATATATATTATGATCTAAGAAAGGGACATCAGTAGTACAAGCTAATAGTAGTTTCCATAATATATTCGGATTAATTTTAATGAGGACTTACTTAAAATAGACTAAACTTGTCTATATTATTTAATGAAACATGCATCAACATATATATATATATATATATATATATATATATATACAGATGGCTTAATAAGCTTGTATTCTCATCATAACAACAAAATAAATCAGCAATGATAATTGGATTCTATTTAAGAGCACTGAGAATTTGCAGCCCTCAATATTTACACGAAGAGGAGCAATATATTGAAATTACATTCAGGAACCATCAATTTCCTAACTGTTTTATTTTCAATGTGAAACAGAAGGCTCATAAAATATTCCAAAATAGAAGAGCTGTCCTTCCTGCAAATGCAACGAATCAAAAATATATTAATCTACCCACTAACTCTATTACAACTACAGCTGAAATGAATTTATCTAAACTCAACGTAAAATGTGTCCCAGCTAGATTATATCAATCAAAGACTTTATAAAAACAACACAACTAGCCAAAACTTGAATGCAGGAATTGCCAGAATAAATACATTAGAGAAACCTCAAGAGGTTTAAACAAAAGATTATATGAACACAAAATGACATTTTAAATAACAACACACAAAACGCATTGGTTGTTTACTGTAACAACACGGACCACTATTTTGACATAGGGAATTCTAATTTGATTAAAAGAGAAATAATAATCTATTGAGAGGAAATTGTCTAGAAAGTGCCTTGATCGCTAGTTCGACCACGGTAAATTTGCGTCCAGCCTCTTACAATATATTACCATTCTTGGTAGATTTTTATATTGTTACAGTGTGGGATAGCCAGGGAAAAAGGCGATGGAGAGAAAAAGAAAAAAAGAATATGGAAAAATTTGAGTAGATTAAAACAAAAAAAATATTCTTTGAAAAATATTCTTTCAAAAAATGTTGAAATTCCTTGCATCTGGCTTTTCGTGCGCATGTGTAGACGTGCCAACATTAACAAGCCCACCCGATGAAATCGTAACGGATGAAACTCGTCAGAAGAAATTTTCAAGTTAAGTTCATCATATTTTTTAAAATACTGTTTGTTGATATATAAAACAATACAAAATTATATATATATATATATATATATATATATATATATATATATATATATATATATATGTGTGTGTGTGTGTGTGTGTGTGTGTGTGTGTGTGTGTGTGCACATTTCATTGAATACGACAAACAAGGTACTATTATTTAGTCTTTTTTTTTTTATACAATTTCTCATGCGATCTAATAATTCTTTCCTTTCAGAAGATAAATTATATAAAAACTGCCATTTTCAAGAATTAGATATTTTAACTGTTAAATAAGAAATAGTTTGTTGCATGTATGTTTTATAAAATGTTTTCATTTTTAAAACACGGTCAAGATATTGTGCCCATATTCATAATTATTATTATGAAGTGTTGGATTTTTGTTTTTATTAATAAGGCTTCCATTATTTTCAGCCTTTTTTTTGCACGTAGATGATGCTATTATATTTGTGTTATCAACAGGTATGTTACGAATAGTGGCCGGTAGGCCTCCATGGATATTTAAATGAGATTTAATTGAGTTATGGTCAGAAAGGTGTAGAGTGAGTCTTCGTGTCAAACATGTTGTAGTGTGGCCTATATAATTATTTACGAATTTTGATTGATCAGGAATATATTTTATCAATGAGGATTCAAATTCGAAAACAATATTTGCCCTATTTAATTTTGTTCTCAGAGGTGAATTATTATTTTTTACTATAACGTTAGATGTTTTAAAATTTTTGTAATAAATAATTAATCTAATTTTTTGCTATTGTCATTAAATTGAAGGATTACTG